TCGCGACGCTAAAGACCCACTATGTATGCTTGTGAGACGCCTAGAAAGGCTATCGCTGCAGTCTTTCGGCCAGGATTTATTTGCCAGGATCTGTGTGTTCGATATAAGCGGTTCGGCTCATCGTGAATGTATGAAATGCATCATGCTTTTAGTCTTTGTGATGCCAGGTCTTCCTGGGCGTCCTTGATCAGAAAACTATACCATGTTAGTGCGTGCAGATACACTTCCGGACTCGTAGCTTACCTGTACCACCAGATCGTTGGTCCTACTGTACCCAGATGCCACAGGCTGTGTGCATCAATCATACGGCCCCAAGGCGCAAAGTCGAATAGTTCTAGGCTCATGGCAAGTATGATCCAAGCCACTATAAGACCAGGCCAGGCTGCCCACGTCTTCTGTAGCTTTCGGTATCTTTGAATACTGAACCAACTCCAAAGAACGTTCTGTACGATGCCTGCAGCAACATTCGCAGCCATGTTGTAGGTATAGTCCCAAGACCAGGCCGTAAGGTAAGTCACATGGCACAAGTAGAGGAAGACGCAGGTTGCAGTCCACACTCGAAGCACGCTCTGCTTGGCTTGAGTTCTCTCATCAAGCCGGAACACTCGGACCGGTGTATAATAGAGGCCATACATCACGCTAGCTCCAGCACCAAAATAGTCAAGCTTCTCCGTGATGTTGAAGTCCCTAGTGTGGAAGATCATGCTGAAGATCCAGCTTGCAAGGCCAAAGTATCCAAAGCCGAGATAGTAAGGACGAAGAGAGTAGCGACCTGGTACTTCGGCGCGGAGTCTTTCCATACCCCAGCGATGAGCGAGGAAGTTGAACAGCGAGAATAAGACTGAGAACGGTTCCTGCATGCCCATGAATCTGTGAAATGGCCATTTCCCGTGGAATTGAACAACAGGTTCCATCATAGGAGGGTCTCGCGCCTCTCTTGCATCAGTGATGACATGTTGGCAGGTGTAGTCGCATTCTCGTGGACATGTCCAGAACAGTAACCGGAGGTTCAGTGCTAGACATGGTGAGTCGCACTGGTGGCTAAAGTCTTCTGTGGCTTACGTAGATGGCCTTTCCCAGACGCACAGTTCTCGCTCTTGCATACCTGGGGTTTTCAGCTTTAGCTGCCACAAGTTTGATTGGAGTTCTTACCTCAACACAGTCTCGAAATTCTGGCAGTCGGTCGCCAAGAGATGCGTGGGCGTGCTGGAACGCGCAACATAGCATGATCAGCACTATCACACAGCGCAGTACCCGACTAGAGCTTGTGCCAATCATGCTTGACGACCACAGTTGTATGCTGCGGGATCGTTAGACTAACTCGAGTATCATGACAGACAGTAGTCGAGCAATAAATTATGATGCCTTGCAAATGATCGTCCTTCGGCGGAGCAGTCGAAAGGGGTTCTTGGCGAGTGGCTGATAGTGAATAAATCTTCACAATAAGTGTCGGGCGTTCGTAATTATCTATGTGTAGAAGAGTGAGAGGAATGCAACGACGAAGCCTGAAGCAGCCGGAGGCAGCTGTGCCCTCAACAAGTAGTTCTTTTGAAACGATAGTAAGTGGACCCAAGCGTTATCATTTTCGAATGTATCTACCTGGGTAAACTCTACAGCTTACTCTTCCCTACAGGAGGGCTGCACTTCATCAATGCCCGCCCATTGCTCAAGCAAACCTTTCCACCTTCAACCCTACAGGTGAATCGAATCTCTTCCCAGCCATCCTGGTTCTTTTCCCCCGTTCTCCAGATCTCGGTTATCAGCTTGTCTCCCGGCTTGACTGGACTAGCGAATCGAGCCTGGAACTCCTTGATGTTGGCAGGATCCGAGCCACCAAGCTCTTTCACGAGCGCATGAGCTGCACTGTTCCACGAGTACAGACCGTGCATGATGGCGCCACCGAAGCCCATCTTAATACCTGGCTCGGGTGTTGCGTGGAGAGGGTTGTAGTCGCCGTTCAGTCTGCAGATTCCTGTTAGCTTCGCAACTTTTCATTGGTGAGCAGAACTTACCTGTACAGCAGGGCGCTCTCAGGGGTCAGTTGGTTCACGTGTGTGACATCGGGACTCTTCTCCCTGCCCTTTGGCGGTGGGAATGCTTGTGTCGCTGGACCTTTAGGGCCGCCCCATCCTCCTTGTCCGACGAAGAAGCCCTGTCCTACTGCCCGGCTGTATACCTCACCAGTGCTCTTGTCTACGATTGTCTGCTCAGTCTCGACGACCGTACCTGGCTTGCCCTTGTCGTATACACCGAGGACCTTGCTTCGGAGCTCGAAAGTCTTTCCTTCAGAAGTCGGCGGTAAAGGTTTCAGGAACTCGATCTTGCGCTGTCCATCGACGACTCGTCGTGCATCGAGCTTCGGGATGCCTGGGATTGGATTTGATTCTTGGGCTGCATAGAAATCTATCACTTCCTGAGTGGTCTTCTTGAATGCTATTCATTGTGTTAGTTAGGTTGTGCTTCTGGAGGTGACAAGCGCGGAATGCTCACGGAGGATGATAGGATATGTCGGGAATACTACAAAGTTCGGGTGCAGCTCCTGCGGAATGAGGTCAGTGTAAGACTATGGGAAGCACCAATGTTCCATACGTAGAGGAAGTGCAGCTCATCTGCGGTACATCCAATGCTGGCAGCGAACAGAAGGACGTCTCGCTTGAGCCATGATACTTCTGTGGTGGGATACTGGAAACCAACTCCAGGGTCAGGCATGTTGGATGTTCGAGATGCTACTGTGTAATATCAAGGACTCGATTGCTCAGGACAGCTCGTCAACGGTAAGCTCGTGATAGATAGATATGTCGAAGACTGCGCTTGCGGGGACTTTTGTTGTCGGGACGGACAGAGCTGACGCGCTTTAGCCGAGGCAACTTTAAACCGATGGGCTCGGGCCGCTAGTATTGACTCTGGCAGCCTGAATATTTGTCTCTTCCTCGTCGCCAAACGCTCGGAAGTTCGAATCAGAGAGCTCGGGGGAGGTCAACACGACAGCAAAGTGGAAATGAAATCTTGATGTTGTCCGTCATTATGATCATTATTCGTTAAGACTCAGCGTCAACTCGTGGGGTATCTCAGCAAATAAACGAGGCGCATGAAATTCTTTCGTGTCCAGATCGTTCAACCGTTTCGTCCTCAATGCATCGCCGAGTGTATTCAGCCAGAGCTAGAATACGCATACATCAACTTTTCGCACAACATAACGTGCCCATTCCAATATAACCACAAACGCCTGTAGATGCTTTGTCGCTAGCATCTAGCACATCCTGTACTCACACGAGCCCGCAGTTTTGCGCCTTGAATCCGTGGTATCGAGCTCGTAGTCGATTTTGATGTCTAAGTCTCGCTTGTTCTTGGCATTTGGCTTGTTCGAGAGGAAGCCGTGCAACACCTCATTTTCCTCGACAGTCAGAACTTCACGAACATAGAAAACGGTCTGCTTCCAGTGGGTGTATTTGGCATGAGGGCCAGTTGAGAAGCGGATCGGCTTGTGGCACGCTCCAAAGTCAATGTCGAACCATGCAATCAAGGCATGGATAAAGTCGTTCCTCTGGCATCTCAGAGAGAAGGGCTCGGAGAATGCCAGATCAGCAGTCTTGACTGTGTTCAGGTCGATGGTGAAGACTGGGCATGGGTCTGTCACCAGCGCCTTCAGCTCAACTGTGTCAACCAACGGCTCGGTAAGGGCGACGTCTTTCATGGGCGAATAGTCGAAGCCGTAGACATTGTCCCAGACTGGGATAGGTTAGCATAATCCGCTGGAAGGAATCTGAAAACGTACAGCCAATCTTGTCTTCCTTAAACTCGCCATCTTCAATACCGGCCATGTAGATGGTTGCCTTGTCTGGGTAGATCTGGCCTTGTGGTCGCAGGTACTTGTCTCTTGCGTAGATCACCGTGTCCAACATGGATTCGTAGAGTAAGAAGTATCCCATCCACTCGGAGATTATGATATCGACCTTGCCGTCTGGCATAACGTGCTGTGGCATCTCCACCTCTTCCATCTTGCCTTGCAGCAGGGTGACTTTGCTGGTCAACCCATTACGCTCAACAATTTGTTTGGCTTTTTGTATTATGCTGGACATATCGACACCGATAACGTGCTTTGCTCCTGCCTTGGCCGCGAACATGGACAGAATTCCTGTCCCGCAACCGACATCTAGAACGACCTTGTCCTTGAAGAGGTGCTTGTTCTGGTAGATCGAATCGCGATATGACCTTGTTCGCACTTCGTCTTTGAGCATTTCCTCGTGAATGCCATGGTGGTCGTAGCTGAACAGTGTTAGACCAATCCCTTGCTCGCTTCAATTCTCATACCTTGTGAAGTAACGGACTTCAGAGTGCTCCAAGCCAGCCATGCGCTCTTCTGTGGTCATGGCTGCCAGTTCGGCGACCGAGGGTTTGTTGCCGTTCTCCATATTGGCTTAATGACTGGAATTGATTGTGGACGTGGTTTTGTCTTGTACGTTGCAAGCCGCAAAGTAGACAATAATAATATTGCAGCCTCGCGCCTTGGACTTCGAAAAAACACCTTCAAAGTTCGCGACTCGTTCTGCATGTGAGGATAGCGGGCCAGAAACTCCACACAGCAGCAATCCGGACGCTAGAGCGGATTGTGCTTAGCTCTTATTTGGCCGCTACAATAGTCGATGGTTACGAGCACGCAAATATCTACGACAATGAAAGGTCTCTACCAGCGCTGATGCGGACGGCAATATGCACGCTGCAGGTTTCGAGCATTCTCAGCGACTTTGAGGTCAAAACAGGCCAGTGAGACTAGCCGAACGAGGCAAGACGTTATCTCACGTGATGTGAGCTAGCCCAGATCTAGTCCAGATTCAAGTATCCCTTTCCGGTCGCCGGTCCCGCCAGAAGCCCCTCCGGACCAAAATTTCGGCTGGCCACAACTTATGCCACAATGGTCCAAAATGTTTCGAACAAAAGCCCATCCGTTCAAAAATCAATGCTCTTCTTGTCTGGCTTGTTCAAAGGGCAAAAAGACTTTATGGACGAGCAGGGATTTGAACCCTGGGCCTCTCGCAGCTTCAAGACGTTTCCGTCGATGCAAAGCGAGCCTGAAGAATGTTAGGACGAGATTCAAGACAAGCGACGGTGAGTACCTACGCGCTACCCCTGCGCTACACGCCCTTTCATACACCTTTGTGCGTGATTTGTGGCCTCGAATTTGCTCGATTACGTATATGAAGATATTCAATAGAGGAAACGCTCCGGGTAAGAAGACAAGCAGAACAAGGCCGAGCAAGACTCTGGTTATTTTAGCCGAAGTCCGGAGCTGGTCGCGGATAGCGCTAGCTTCCGTACCTTTGCTGCCGACTGAAGCCAATGAAAGACGCCCCCTGACTCGACGTTCCCATAACAGACAACCTTTCTCAGCCGACCATCATTGCTTTGAGGAACTGACAGGACGGCGAAGCAGAGCGATGTGTGCTCCACACAGTGGCTTGCAACTTTGTCAGTCATTGTTACTATCGTCCGGAGCATGAATGGGCCCCACGACCGATTTTCCATAACCGCATTCTGGCAAATTCGAGGTCACAAATCTCGCACAAAGGTGTATGAAAGGGCGTGTAGCGCAGGGTAGCGCGCTTCGCAGCGGCGAAGCCGCTGCGAATTACACCCTCACCGTTCGCTATTGTTCTTCCATCTGAACCTTTCGCCCGGTCTCGTTGGTAAGGGTGTCTCAGTGCTCGAGAACGGCTTGGTAGCATTCGGTCGGTCCTCGAAGGGGGACGATATAACCGCCATGGAGGATAGATGGTTCAGGACTTGCATTGCCGTAAGCCAAGGACAGCATGCTCTTGGCCCGAGCATGCAGCATTGAAATGCACATGGATAGGACTACCTCAAAAAAGTAGGTAACGGCTCTCATGAATAGCTTGCTAAGCGCAAATCGATAGCGAGGCAAGTGGCCCGTTCCTCAACGAAGCAGCAGTCAAAGCACTTATCTGGCTGTGAGTGTGGGTCCATAGCGACAAGTTCGCTCGGTATCTCTACTATCCCTTCTCAAAACATCGTTCTCACGAGCTTGGGTTGGTCGACTAAGGACGCAAACCACGAGCCATCTAGCAATATGGTAGTCGAGCCAGAAAACTTGACTATATTCACTACAACACACGGAGCTCACGCAGGTCTTCTCCACAGTTTTGAAATGTTATCTTTCTCATACTCCTGGTTGAAGTATGAGCATCCAGCTAGGGAGCCATCATACAGATCCGAAGTACGCATGACTTACTTGCTGCGGTGGGCGCACCATGGCGAAACTTTTTCGATTTGATGAACGTAGGTGCAACGGTCAGTGCTCACGGCAGATGTCTTCACCATAAGGAACCACGTCCCAAGAATTACTGTGCTGTCACAAGGTATTCGCCTCAGAATCGTGACATGGACATTGTATTCAAGCTATCGTGATCCAAAGTCATAAATGTCGTCCAATGTCATTGACCATCCCCATATCGTCTAATGCTATGCAACCAATGGGTCGAGCTACAACTCTTCCTCAGCCGCCCAAGCCTCAAGAACCTCCAATTCAAGCAAGCCATTGACATCCATCTGGACCTCCTTATCCACAACATCATCGTTCAAGAACTTCAACCCATCCATCGCTTTCCCTCCACAAGCCCGCTGTAACGACAAGAAAGCAAAGTGGCCACCAATTACAGGCCGCGCAAAGAAGTTGATCCCAGGAAATCCTCCCGACCCTTCTGTATCATGAAGATCCGTCAATGGCCGATCCGTGCTCGTCTCATTGATCCATGTGGCCACGCTTTCGAGAATGTCAGCCCGCACACGTGGTGCCGCTACAGCCATCGAGAAGAACTCCCAATCGGTCTTGGTGTAACGATGTCTTGAGTCAAGCGGTAACCCGTATTTCTGTCGCACAGCATAGTACCAATCTGATTGTAGCTGGTAGATGTGCTGCGGGACAAAGCCTGACTTCTTGTGACCGCCACCAATCGGCTTCTGATCACCATGTCCAAATGCGTGACTGGCGTCCTCCTCGAGATGGAAGCAGAGCAACGTATCAGCGTAAAGATTGTAAGTTGTGGTCCACGATCCGAACCAGTCATATGCAAGTTTGGCATGAGTCTTGTCTCTCGAGATGCCATACTCTTCCCACTTCGCGATGTATACACGTGAAGTATTGTCGTACAGCTTAACATCAGTCTCAACCCCTGCAATTTCTGCCAAACCAGACATGGCTTTGATGCCGATGATGCCTTTGAGCGCCAGATTAGTCTGCAATGCGAGCCAACCAGCAAAGTCATCAGTCGAAAGCTGGTTGTGTGGTCTTAAGCTGTATTCAACGAGATAGCTTGTCCATTGCTTCCAGAGACGGTAGCTTCGATGAATCCACTTTTGGGCCTGCTTCAACGACCGAGTTCCACCATTCCAGGGCTCGTCGATGTACTGTATTCTAGAGTCTGAGCCAGTATTCAGGGGGAAGACCTTTTCATTTGTGCCCTCGAAATAGTTGTTGCTCTCTTGCCAGACTGAATCAACGGAGCTGTTTGTGCCGTACTTGATCGAATTTGCGAGTGCAAGCCCCATGATGAGAATATTGCCGCACTCTTCAACAGGCATGTATTCATCGTTACCATCAGGATGACCAGTGGCGTTCGGGTACCTTGCGCCAATGTCATGCATAGCGTACTTGTTGGGATACTGACCACTTAGCATGTGCTCAATGAGTGGCTCGAGCAAGTATGCTAGCCACCTTGGGTTGGTGTAAAGGAAGAATGGGAATGCAGGGAAGATCACATCGATGGTCTGGGTGTTTCCATCCGAAGAAATCTCCTTCATGAACAGTAGAGGATCCTCAGGCGTGCCCAAGAAATGAGTAGCACCCATAACTTGCCTGGCAGAAACTGCAACTATGTCGACATAGTCATCCGCACCTGACTTGTAAGCATCAACCGCTAGCTGAGCAGAGTAGTTGTATGCCAGCTCCTGCGCATGCTCATAGTCCAGCCAGTGGAACGCAATCAGATCTTTTGGTAGAGGCATGTAAGACGCCCATAACGGCCTCAAGTATGTCAGACCTCTCGCTGCGGCGAATTGTACGACAGGGTTCTGGATATGCGCGATGGTGAACATCACACTCTTTGTGCTGTCGTGAGACTGTGTACTTGTATCGTTGGCTCTGAAGGACTTTGCGAAGGCAAAAACAGGCTCCTCCTCCATAATGCCACGGTAGTGGTCATCTACAATGTTTTGCAGAGCCCCAGTCCTCGAGAATCGCTGTCTGAGCTCTCTTGATATTCCGACCTCGTGACGAACATCTGAAGGAGCAGAGAAAATGAGTGTGCCCCATTCCGATTGATCTTGAGTCTCCGTAAAGATCTGCTCGGTATCTCTTCGAAACAGCCAGGACTTGAGGCCAGCCTCTTTTTCTCCATCAGCTAGGTGTGTATGCTCCAAGTCCCACACAATCTTGTTACCACGATCTCCACTGACCCATTGGCCATTAACGTCAAGGTAGATGTCCACGTCCGCATGGCCAGTGACGAAGACGTTCAGGTACGCTGCCGGTATCGATTGTCTCAAGGTAGATGTAGGAGTGATCGGAGAGAGGAAGGACAGGGTGATCTCGAGAGGCTTGGAAGACTTGTGCGAATGTATAGCATAGCTCAGGTTTGTGGTGGAAGCATCGTACTTCGAGCCCAGGTAGACAGGGTATGAAACATTATATCCATCATCCTGCGGGTTCAGAGAGTCTTGAGGTCGGCCAAGCAATGGGTAAACCGTCCCTTCGTGAGGTAGACTAGCCAGTACCGAGAAGCCAACATGCTCGCCGGTCCAGAACATCGGCCATGACTCCCATGGGTTCCCGCGAGCATCACTGAGCCACGTGCTCAGATACGGATTCCTGACAATAAGTGGTAGGACAGGAGGGGTCAGGCGGGAAGCATCAGTAACAATAGGTAAGAGCGCTGCGACAGCACTCAATGCGGAAACCAGCCGCATGATGATGAGCTCTTGCCGAAGGAAGATCCTCGACCTAAACTCTAACGATACTAGAAGGGACGATGCTGAGGTATGAGAAAGCCCATAGAAATCTGAGCTTAAGGATATGCAAAGAGCTTCGACGGCACGCGCAAGAGCATCTTGCTTGCACAAGGATTTTGTGGTCAGCAGGTCATCGGGTTCCCCACGTTACTGTCGGAGCTCTTCAGGCACACCGAGCGCCGTCTTTGGGGATGCGCCTCGGCAGCGCTATGCCTGTTCCTGAGCTGTCCGGGGTGACCCCAGGTTTAAAGCAGCCGCTTTCAAGGCGCGTGACCATCGACATGACGACACTGTGCGCCCCGGGTTAAAATTGAGGAACTTTCAAGCGCTGGGCAAGTGGCACTGGATTTACTCCATCATATTTATTCTGCCAGTGTTCTAATCAAGAGCTTGTTGTAGAGCCGCGATGAGCGGCCTGTCTATCTTGTGGTGCTCGCCTCACCGCATACATCCTACATACATCGGCCCTGCATACCGCATCTTCGCCGCAAGAGCGGTCCGAGCACGGGACAACATTGCGGAGGCTTCGTGTATGCAGCTTTCACGTGGAAGAATGATAATCTTGATAAGCTTGGTCTTCTGCACCTCCTAAGGCCTCGACTACCACATGAGAGTGAATTTTGCTTCCATGTTAGTAGTTTGTCCAAGTGTAGGATATTCATTTGAATGACCGCAGGTTCGAGTGTTGGCTCTGGTCAAGTCAGCTCGTACGAGTGAGCGGGAGCGCCCCGTATTCCAGGACTGTGGCAGAAATTGATCTCGACGAGAGTCTGCGACCAACGGCCATCGTTTGTGACAAGCACCAAAGGACGTAAGGCAGCACACCTGATCTGTTTGCCGCGGCGACCACCTGCCGTCGTTCACAGGCCGACATGGCGTAGCCTGGGCTGTTGTCAAAGCCACAACAATTTGCCATGCGCAGGAGAAGGATGAAGGCATGTTTCAACCCTCAGCTTTGACAAATGCCATGCTCTTCCTCAATTCTCTCTCTTTCTGCTTGCCTTGCAATTCCAGTCGCTCGATAGCAAACTGCAGCTGATCCTTCTTTTGCTGCAATCTCTTCATTTGCAAAGCTTTGGGATCCGAGGGACCGGCCGATCGACCCGCTGCTGCGGTAGCTC